GTGTGCATATATACAGTACATACACACACACACACACACATATATATATATATATATATATATATATATATATATACACACAATAAGGTAAATGTACAGGATTGATATTAGAATTTCATACATTTGAAGTCAAATGTCCTAAGAATCTTCATAGAGTATCAATAAAATCCTCAAGAAAATGTGATTCCTATGTACAGTAATCTTAGAGTCTTAGATAATATTAGATATTGGACAAACTTTATCAAAAACCTATGCATGGTATAATGTCTTGCTTTTGGACACTTAATGGAAATTGGGAAAGATTGGGAATCATATGGGTACTGTGTTTTAAAAGACATTTGTGTGTGTGTTGTTCCTATTAGGATTTGTAAGAATTTATTATGATAGAAATTTCAATACAGAATCTGTGCACATTCCTACAGGATTCTGGGACTCATGATCATAACTACATTTACCATAATTCTCCGCGACCACTGAAAGGAAGTTGATGAAGGTGAAACGTCAACTTAAGAGTATATTTGAAAAATCTCAAATTGCTCAAATATTATACGTTTACTTAATTCCCTCTCTGAAATCTCTGAATTTGTTAGTGCATTTCCTCTTTGTGTAACGTGTTTGTGTAGCGTTAAAGCAGCACTATGTAACTTTTTCTGTGTTCAAAATTTGCAAAATGTTTATAATGAGCGAGTACATCATGAATTCATCTTCCAAACCGCGTTTTTGTCTTATTCCGAATCACTACGGTACACTTATAATAAGTACTTCTATTTGGACTATTGTAGCCTGGTCGAGTCGTCGCCGCTGCGGAGTAACACATACCTGCGTGAATCGCCAAAGACATAAACTTAGAGAAGTAGCTCCGGTTGGAATGTTCTTCCGCGGGATGTGTGCAGTTCTGTTTATTAACCGCTAGAGCGCCAAAAGTTACATAGTGCTGCTTTAAGGAGTCTCATTCACTTCGAGCGAATCGATTCGTTCGGACAGTACGCCTCAGTTCAAGTGAAATTATTGTTAAATACTAGTATTTGTCACTCAGTTTTAATTACAGTACACACATCGTATGGCATATTGCTGTGTTTATAATCCCACCTCACTTTGCGATTCGGTTCAACTAAAACGTTAAAAAGAACTGATTCAAAAGAATGAATCGTTTTGTGAATCGAACGTCAGTAGCACGTGAATTCTCCGTCTGTGTGCAGTGTGCAGTGTGCACGTGGTTTGTGGTGTGAAACAAACGCTGGTCTTCTGTCCATCACTCCGTTACAGTGGTCTTCTGTCCATTCCATTACGACGTGAACACCACAGGACCCCGAAAGTACACCGCTGTTCATCAGAAATCACGTAAGTCAGCAACTATAACGTTACTTACGAATGAATGCACGGTCAAAGAAGTTTAAGTAACTTAGCTGCATGATATAATTGATTGGTGATTTCCATAAAGTTGATCAAAGTTATTGTTTTAGCAGTCTGGCTGATGTTTGCATCTTTATTTCTGCTCAGAAAGTTTGCATAAGGTGTTTGTGCAATGCTGAATGTTTTACACTTTTTACCATGGTTCTACACAGGTTTTTGAATATGGTACTGTGGTGATATATCATTGCAGTACTAGTTTTGGACTTGATCATAATATTATGACAAATGAACTTTGATTAGTACTTTTGAGTAGCATGTAAATATGCTACTACATCACAACGTATCAAAGTACCATAGTACAACCACGGTATTTCTTTTACACATGTTGTGTCTGAAACAGCAAAACATGTCCATGCATGTTAATTGCTCACACTTAGGCCTTTCAACACATTGCTATAGAAATCGAATGCATTATGTGTGCATGTTCATCATATATATTGCATTTGCTGTTCTGATGATGCACTTAAAATCTACTTTAGAAGTCAGTGAGCAGCAATCCCTGAATCTCGTGATGTGAGTCACTCATGTGCTACTGGTTAACATACTCACAGTGATTGTGTGTTTGATTGATTTGATCATCAGTTATCTACATCCACTGTTACTCAACCTGATGAATAGTATCAGTGGATTTTCAAGCCAAAGTTCAACTAAAAGCAATCCCAGCTGATCCTCAGTCTTGTTTACCAAGTTAACTGATGGTATTTTCCATGCAAATGTAATGCAGTAGTTTGTGCTCATGTATTAGGATTATTTTTGTACTTAGTATGCAGTGTTTCGATGCTTCTGTATGTTTGTCCAAAGTTGTTTAATGTTATTTTCCATGCAAATGTAATTCAGTGGTTTGTGCACATGCAGTACTTTTTTTTTTTTTTTGCACTTAGTATCATTGATGCACAGCATTTCAGTGCTTCTGTATGTTGTTGTTGTCCTTAGTTTCATGGCAATGCACAGTGTTGCAATGCTTCTGTACTAGGTGTTCATGCTGCTTGATGCCACTGGATGTTTATGTGTGCTGGGATTGAAAGTCTTACAGCAGCACTGAAAGGTTAACGGCAGCAGATTAAACCGCATCGCTGCATCCTATAGGTCAAGCACTTCATGTAATTAAACCACATCTTTAAAAGAAATAAAAACAATTTAGCATGCAGATAGTGACATTTTGTTAGATAGTCACTATATATCAGAGATTATCCGGATCAGCCAATAACTGTGTCCACTTGGACAGTTAACAGAAGCATTAGCTCTGAAAAAATCAGCAGAGCAGTTTTTAATTAAAATAATTTGGTAGCACTTTACAATAAGGTTTTATTTGTTAACATTAGTTAACATGACCTAACAATGAAAAATATTTCTAAAGCATTTATTAATCTTAATGTTAATTTCTGCATTATTGAAAACCAAAGTTGCATCTGTTAATATTTAATGGACCTGAGCTGACAAAAAGCACAAAACTGCCTAGCAACACCTTAACAACTGTCTAGCAACCACATAGCAATGCCTTTGTGCGGTGTTTCCCAACCATGCTGCGTGGGTTATCAGGTGTGCAGTGGAAAATTATTCTTTCTATATCTGGAAAACTTTCTATCTCTATTATATTTCGCTATTGGTCATATTTATGTCTGTTTGTGGGTTTTACAAATATTTAAATAATGAAAAGCATTCAAAAGAGCTTGTGACTAAACCTCGTAACGCCATTGGATCCTCAAACTGTCGGCGAAACCTCATAACTGATGTTTAAATTAGGGATGCTCCGATCCGCCTTTTTCGCCTCCGATACCTAGGATTCAGTATTGGCCGATACAGATACCGATCCGATACCAGTGAAGTTTTTTCCCCTCATTTAAATAAATGTAGTATTTGTATATCTCTGTGTGTGGAACTGATATTCATTCTTTCACAATCTACTAGATACAGACTACTTCATTATAAAGAAAAATAAAATAAACAAATATGAAAAAATATAGGCCTATGTATATTTATAATCTATGACAAAAAATTATAAACTAGGTTAGTGGATAATTCGGCAGCAAAAGTTATTCTAGAAAAATCAGTGCACAATAATTTTAGAAATCCAAACATTTAGTGAATAACAATATTTTGTGTGGAACAAATAAAAGTGTTGCACTAAATATGGTAAAATGTTACACATTGCTATTTGTATTATTATAAAATCCATTCATTAAAAACATTCATGAATGTATTTATATATAAGTATATACTAAAAAATTAAAATACATTTCTTTTAAATGTATAGCATATTTTTTTAAAAGGCAACAACATATAATGCGATAGGACAAAACAAATACAGTGCAGCACGAACTGTTTTTATACAGTCAACCCTCAACGGACACCTTGACAATTGAATAGCCATCGGCTAGTATATTTTTTTGTTCACTCGCCAGACTGAAATACTATACTATATATATGTCGCAATGTAGAGGGTTGACAGTCTATGAGCACAATGCGCTTCGTGTTAAAAATGGCAAAGCACAAAGGGAAGCGAAATTGATGCGTAGTGTATTATATCTGTGCAACAGTTATTGAGCCTTTCTTTTAACAGTTTTAAATTTCAGCTACTGTGCACGTTAAAAACAATTTATAGTCTTTTCTACGCCCGTGTTTTGTTCTCACAGACACCCGGTAGCAAGTAACAAAACAACGTTAAACGCCGGCAAGAAGATATAAAGTCCTTTTTGCAAAATCATAGACATGTATTTACAAATCAAGTATAATGGGAACACAGAATGATCTTGGAGAGAGCTTTACCGAGCTGACTGCTGTAACCGAACGCGACCAGGGTTTAAAGGCTGAACGAATGACTTGACAGCCACAGCGGAGAAAAAAGTTTGTGTGAACTTTAATGTAAGGACTTAAATATTCACATGTAGCTCACATTAAGCTATCGTATAGCTTCAGAAGTAACACAGAATAATTCGAAAAATCTCGGATTTGGATCGGCTCTCTCTGATCGATACCCGATCCGAGAAAAATATCACTATCGGAGCCGATACCCGATATGAATATTGGATCGGCACATCCCTAGTTTGAATAAGTACAACATTTTCTTTACTTAAGAAACACTGTCTATAAAGGCTAATGTTTTTTTTGTTTTGTTTTTTTTGTGTGTGTGTTTGAAGAGTGGAGAAGAGTCTTAGCATTTGCCGTCTAGGTGTAGTTAATATACTGTTTCACATATCCCGTGCATTGTGCTTCATGTTTTATATCATGAGATTTTGGCCAAATGTATTCAACATCAAAAGAACTGAGCTCCCATATAGCTACAATAAACTTTATAACCTGTAAGTTGATGAACATGTAATGCGGTGCACTCTGCCGCAGATGTAGCTGTTAAAGGGGTCATCTGATTTTGCTAAAAAGAACATTATTTTGTGGATTTGGTGTAATGAAATGTTTAAGGTTAAAAAAAACACATTATTTTCCACATACTGTACATTAATGTTTCTCCTCTATGCCCCGCATTTCTGAAACGCGTAGATTTTTACAAAGCTCATCGGTCTGAAAAGCGAGGTGTGCTGTGATTGGCCAGTTATCCAGTGCGTTGTGATTGGCCGAATACCTCAAGCCTGTGACGGAAATGTTACGCCCCTTACCATACTGTGATGCCCTGTCAGGCTGGAGCGATGATTCAAAAACATGAAAACCCATTATAAACAAGGCATTTGTTGCATTCCAGTGGGGACATAATTACGGATTATAATGACTTATGTTGTCTTTTTACGCGTTGCGTCGCGCCGCGTAAACATAACCATGTCTGCATTTGTGATCGGAGAAATGACAAACAAGCGCTACTCTACACTGCTCAAAATTTGCGATTGAATCATCAGTGGCAAATCCTTTAAATGAAAACTTACTTGCAGTCTGTGAATCAGAACAGCCGGCATTGTAGTCTACTCTTCCAGGATCAGGAAACAGTCCTCCATAAAATGTGCTTCACACATCTGAATATTTGGGTTGAACTGTTCTGGAACAGTGTTGTAAATACAACTTAACCACTGATTTCTAGTCGTGTCCTCTTTTGGAAGGTCAAACAAAGTAGTTTCGCTTTCACAACGAAACACAGTGTCACACACGGCGGCCTCGAGTGAGCGGAGGCCGGCGGGATTGAGTGAGGAACGGCCGGCGAATTCGACGAAGGAGCAGCCGGTGGGCTTGCGGCAACCACATGTGACGACCCCGGGCTGGACTCCGCTTCGTCCACGGTGAAAGCCGATCCGGCGATCCACAGCGCGAAGTTGATGTATTTCCTCAGCAAACAGCACGGATCAGCTCTAGGCATGACGAAGCGCAACGAAACACACAGTGCCTTCACGACATGGCAGCGGCAACAATAATACTACAGCGAGAATAAAAGTTACGCTGCCTTTCTTTGAGTGAACATTTGGGCGGCGTTATTCAAATTTTCCTTACACATCGTGACGTAGACATGTGGGGGCGTGTTAGAACGAGCCGTTTTAGGTAAGCGTGTTTGACTCTTAACTTTTATAAAGAATATCTCTTTGGATTTGAGACTTTAGTCTTTGCAACTTTACAGATCTTCTTTATGCACCAAGAGCTTGTAACACTTCAAAGAGAAAGGAAAAATTGAAATTGCATCATATGACCCCTTTAAAGACGGACAAAACACATATTACCAACATTTGCTGGTCAAAAACCTTGCAACTCCATTTGAGCTTAATTTTCATAAAATGTTAATATTATAATGGCACATGAAAGTGTCTGATCATATATAAGTCACAATACCAACTCTGACAACGCTGTTTAATTATAT